TAATTACCATTAGAACATAGCAAAGCTTTGAGTAAAACTTTCAGGTGTGTATTTAGAAAAACTCTTTAAGAGGTCAAGTTTAAGTTTTTTTTTAATTTTAATTCTATTATAAATAATTTAACAATTTTAATGACTTTATATGTACAAAACTATTGTTGAAGTTTTTTAAAATGAGGGTTGTATTAGGTTAAGGCAGAACTTAAGTACCCTGTATTTGGCGAGATTTTAAAAACGACGATAATAAACCTTATGTAATGAATCATAGTAGAGGTTATGTTGGAAATCGGATCCGTCGTGTTAATATAACTAGTACAATACTAATTAGCTTACTGCTACTAGTGTTCGAACGTATGCTTTATAGAGATAGACTTGGTCCCTTTATAAAGTCCATCGTCTACATAAAAAGGGTCTGCACTATATTTAGGAAACTAGAACAGTTAAAATTACAAACTGAATGATAAACTTTTATGCGCCCATAACTCTGAGTAAAGGGTTTAGCAATAAAATTAATTATTTTAGATTAATATTAAAACAAATAATAACAATAATAAACTATAACAAATTGTTATTAATAATCAAGTTATAAATCTCTTAGATATCTTTTTTTTTTCACTTTCAATTAGATTTTTTCATTGCACTTGCAATACAATTTATCTTAAATAAATTCAACAAATGTTGTACAATTTATTACAAAATTTATAATTTAGTTGTTAGAAATATAATTATCATTTACTTCTTGTTATAGTTTTGTGTTTTACCTCTAAAATAAAGGGCGTTTTAAGACAAAGAGGTATTTCTTTTAAATTATAGTTTTATCTTTAACTAAATTAACAACTTGACTCAACGTCTCTGTCACTATTATGACAAATAGAGTTTAACGCTAAATTTGTTACAATAATTCATAATTTTAGCGCATTTTATTGCCGCAAAAGGTGGCAATGTTGTTTTTTTTTAGCTTTCATTATTAAGTGATTAACATAGATTTTAAAGTCATGGTCAAGTACTAATTCCATAACGTTTTTTTTTAGTTTAAACTTTAATTTTCAAAGTCATATTTAATAGTTAATAAGTTTAATACAATCTTATTATTATTAATTGGTGGAAAGAAATGTCAAGGTTTTTGGTGCAATTTAGGAAGGGCTGAGATTAGATAAGGTGTTATTTAAGAGGTTGGGTTTCTAATGTGTGTTTTTTCTTAATGTTGTAATATAATAGTTTTAAGTTTAGTTTAGGTTCAAAAAATTAAGGGAATTATTGCCAAATCTTCAGAAACTACAGAGTAAACGTTATTGATTGATCAAAATTTCTATTAAAATTAATATGTTTATGAAAATTCTTTAAAAATATACACAAAAATTTGAATTCAATAATTTTCGTGAATATTCCCGGAACTTATTATCTCACAGTTTCTTTAAGTATGCTATTCATTTAAAGTTAAAATTGAATTCAACAGAAATTGCATACTTTAAGGCAGTTAATAAAAATCGGGGTTTCAAATGTTTTAAGAGTAATATTTTCAGAAAATAGTTGAAAATGGAATTGAAATGTTGTTATATGGAAGGAGTTAAGATCTAAACAGTTTCTGGAAGTTCCATCTACAGCAAGCTGTGTTAAACCCCTTCTAAAATTTTATTATATATTTTATTGATTTCATTTTATTTATTTTATATAAAATTTTTCTCTATTTGCCTTTGTAAGTTTTCATTTTCTTATTGTAAAATTTTTCACTTTTTTTTTTCTGCTAACCAACGTGTTGTTATTTAGTTGTTATTTAAAGAAATCATGCATTTTATTAAATGAATTTTATTTAACAACAAAAAACAATTGGTGCATAATATCTAGTACAATCAATACAAGCAAAAAAACAACAACAACTATTTGCAAAAAAAAAAACTAATAAGTAAAAGTGTTAAGAAAATTTAATAAACAACGACTTGTTGAAATGCTAAACAAATTTGCTAAGAAAACTGATCGATGATAAAGTTTTCTTTAAAAAACTGATTGATCGTAAAGTTTAATATAGAAAAGTGACCGATTATAAAATTATCTTTAAAAAAACTGATCTATAGAAAACTGATCGATAATAAAGTATTCTATAGAAAACTGATCGATGATTAAGTTTTCTATAGAAAACTGATCGATGATTAAGTTTTCTATAGAAAACTGATTGATAATAAAGTTTTCTACAGAAAACCGATCGATGATTCTATAGAAATGAAATCGATAACAAAGTCTACTACAGAAAACTGATCGACAATAAAGATTATTATAGAAATCAGATCGATGACAAAATTTTATATAGACAATTGATCGATGATATTGATTTCTATGGAAAACTGATCGATCATAAAGTTTTCTATAGAAAACTGATCGATCATAAAGTTTTCTATAGAAAACTGATCGATGATAAAGTTTTCTATAGAAAACTGATCGGTGATAAAGTTTTCTATAGAAAACTGATCGACGATAAAGTTTCCTAAAGAAAACTGATCGATGATTAAGTTTTCTATAGAAAACTGATCGATGATTAAGTTTTCTATAGAAAACTGATCGATGATTTAGTTTTCTATAGAAAACTGATCGACGATTAAATTTTCCATAGAAAATTGATTGGTGATAAAGTTTTCAATAGAAACTGATCGATCATAAAGTTTTCTATAGAAAACTGATCGATATTAAAGTTTTCTATATAAAACTGATCGATATTAAAGTATTCTATATAAAACTGATCGATGATAAAGTTTTCTATAGAAAACTGATCGATGCTAAAGTTTTATATAGAAAACTGATCGATGATAAAGTTTTATATAGAAAACTGATCGATGATAAAGTTTTCTATAGAAAATTGTTCGATGATAAAGTTTTCTATAGAAAACTGATCGATGATCAAGTTTTCTATAGAAAATTGATCGATGATAAAGTTTTCTATCGAAAACTGATTGATGACAAAGCTTTCTATAGTAAGCTGATCGATAGTAAAGTTTTCTAAAAACTGATCGATAATAAAGTTTTCTATAGAAAACTGATCGATATTAAAGTTTTCTATAGAAAACTGATCGGTGATTAAGTTTTCTATAGAAAATTGATCGATATTAAAGTTTTCTATAGAAAACTGATTGGAGATTAAGTTTTCTATAGAAAACTGATCGGTGATTAAGTTATCTATAGAATCAGTGATCGGTGATTAAGTTTTCTCTAGAAAACTGTTTGATGATAAAGTTTTCTTTAGAAAACTGATCGATGATTAAGTTTTCTATAGAAAACTGATCGATGATTAAGTTTTTTATAGAAAACTGATCGATGATTAAGTTTTCTATAGAAAACTGATCGATTATTAAGTTTTCTATAGAAAACTGATCAATGATTAAGTTTTCTATAGAAAGCTGATCGATGATTAAGTTTTATATAGAAAGCTGGTGGATGATTAAGTTTTCTATGGAAAACTGAAAACGATGATAAAGTTTTCTATAGAAAACTGATCGATATTAAAGTCTTTTATAGAAAACTGATCGATATTAAAGTTTTCTATAGAAAACTGATCGATCATAAAGTTTTTTATAGAAAACTGATCGATCATAAAGTTTTCTATAGAAAACTGATCGATGATAATGTTTTCTATAGACAACTAAAAGCGATGATAAAGTTTTCTATAGAAAACTGAAAACGATGATAAAGTTTTCTATAGAAAATTGATCGATTATTAAGTTTTCTGATCGATGATAAAGTTTTCTATAGAAAACTGATCGATCATAAAGTTTTATATAGAAAACTGATCGATCATAATGTTTTGTATAGAAAACTGAAAACGATGATAAAGGTTTCTATAGAAAACTGATCGATGATAAAGTTTTCTATGGAAAACTGAAAACGATGATAAAGGTTTCTATAAAAAACTGATCGATGATTAGGTTTTCTATAGAAAACTGATCGTTGATAAAGTTTTCTATAAAAAACTGATCAATCATAATTTTGTATTATATAAATCTTTTTGATAAGGTATGTTTATAGAGAATACTAACCGATTAGAAAACTTCTATAGAAAACCATATGTTTAAAATCGGTGATGATCCATGATAAAGAAGCCCTAGACTATTTTAATCCGTATTTTTTCAAACATTTCCTTTAATTTAATTTTGCGTTTTATGCATGCTGTAGCTCACTTCATTAAGAAACTATGTGTGAATAGCAAAAGCCCACTCCAACAAACATGTGTTCGAAATACAAAATCAGTTGAAAAGTTTCGCTTTTGTTTAAAGGAAATAGTTGTATATTATACAAAAAAAAAAAACTAAATTGTTGAAGCAACAAATGTTTTTGTTTATTTTAGTTTTAAAAAAGCATGAAAAAGAAATATTTGTGGAAAAAATCTTAAAGCTTAAAGCATTAGCATTAATGTAATTATATTTAAAAACTTAAATAAATTAAAATATTGATAAACATAAGCAGATATTTGTTTGTTTAAAAAATTTGCAACTAAAAGAGGGTGTAAAAACAATTTACAATCATATGCAAATTAAAAAAATTTTAAATTGTAATATTTAACAGTGGGTTGTAGCAAATTTGTTATAGAATTAGAGGAGAAAATTTAGAAGTTTAAAACTTTTAATAAACTATTATCAAATTTTTATTCGAGAATATTCCACGAACTTACTCTTGATATTATCTACATTAAAATGTTGCATACTTTAGGGCAGTTAAGAAATATAGAATCATGTGATTTAAGAATATATTTCTTTGTTTGTATTTCTTCAAACTCAACCCACTGTGTCCATTTATTCATGTTTATTTATTTATGTAAATTTTCTGCCACCACCATGTCATTGTCTCGCTAAATGCTAAATGACAAATACGGATTTATTTTCTTTTTCTCTCCAAACAATTTACTTGACTTTTATTGCAAATAAATAAAATAATTGTAATACTAGAACATTACAACAAAAAAATTATGCAAATTTTTGTAAATAGAAAAAAATAAAAACAAAAACAATAACACCACTTACCAGAGAACGATATAATCGTATTCACATCAACCGGATGTACTGCTTCACCATCTGTAGCAATAACTGTCAAACCATGACCTTCAATTGTTACTTGTGCTGGACACACCGAAGCGAATGCATTGATCATACGGAAACGATAACGGCGACCAGGTGTAATAGTGAATATTTCCAAGGGGGTATTTGTCATGAAACCAGTATTGGGATCGCGGAATTGACCTTTACCATTGATCAATAGAGATTCGGGATCTTGACCGGTATTGACAGCTAAACGACCAGGATAACGTTCGGCAGCATCTTCATGCAACCAATCACTGATCAACATAATATGAGTGGTCAAATCAAAGTCATACAGATGAGAGTTGGGATCACGTGATGGTGGCTGTCTTACAACAATACTGCCATAGAGACCGTCTAATTTTTGCAGACCTGTGTGAGCGTGCCAGAAGTGAGTACCAGCATTACCGGTCCATTGATAACTGGAATAGAAAGAAATTGAAAGGAATTTGTTAATTTACTGGAAGAAACTGATCGATGATAAGGATTTCATAGAAAACTGATCGATCGATTATAAAGATTTCTCTAGATAACTGATCGATCGATGATAAAGATTTCTCTAGATAACTGATCGATCGATGATAAAGTTTTCTATAGAAAACTGATCGATGATGAAGATTTCTATGGAAAACTGATCTACGATGAAGATTTCTATAGAAAACTGATCGATGATAAAGTTTCCTATAGAAAACTGATCGATGATAAAGTTTTCTGTAGAAAACTGATCGATGCTAAAGTTTTCCATAGAAAACTGATCGATACTAAAGTTTTCCATAGAAAACAGATCTATGATAAAGTTTTCTATAGAAAACTGATCGAAGATAAAGTTTTTTTTATAGAAAACTGATCGATGATAAAGTTTTTTATAGAAAACTGATCGATAGAAAACTGATCGATGATAAAGTTTTCTATAGAAAACTGATCGATGATAAAGTTTTCTATAGAAAACTGATGGATGATAAAGTTTTCTATAGAAAATTGATCGATGATAAAGTTTTCTATAGAAAACTGATCGATGATAAAGTTTTCTATAGAAAACTGATCGATGATAAAGTTCTCTATAGAAAACTGATCGATGATAAAGTTTTCTATAGAAAACTGATCAATGATAAAGTTTTCTATAGAAAACTGATCGATAATAAAGTTTTCTATAGAAAACTGATCGATGATAAAGTTTTCGAAAGAAAACTAATCGATGATAAAGTTTTCTATAGAAAACTGATCGATGATAAAGTTTTTTATAGAAAACTGATCGATGATAAAGTTTTCTATAGAAAACTGATTGATGATAAAGTTTTCTATAGAAAACTGATCGATGATAAAGTTTTCTATAGAAAACTGATCGATGATAAAGTTTTCTATAGAAAACTGATCGATGATAAAGTTTTCTATAGAAAACTGATCGATGATAAAGTTTTCTATAGAAAACTGATCGATGATAAAGTTTTCTATAGAAAACTGATCGATGATAAAGTTTTCTATAGAAAACTGATCGATGATAAAGTTTTCTATAGAAAACTCATCGATGATAGAGTTTTCTATAGAAAACTGATCGATGATAAAGTTTTCTATAGAAAACTGATCGATGATAGAGTTTTCTATAGAAAACTGATCGATGATAAAGTTTTCTATAGATAACTGATCGATGATAAAGTTTTCTATAGAAAACTGATCGTTGAAAAAGTTTTCTATAGAAATCTGATCGTTGATAAAGCATTCAATAGAAAACTTATCGTTGATCGATTTAAAATTTTCAATATAAAAAAAGAAATCCCCCAACTTACCGGAATGTATTACCCTGTTGAATGGGACATTGTGTTACAAACGGTACACCATCATAATACTGTGAGCCACGTTGCCAGATACCGTGCCAATGAATAGTGACTTCCATACCCTCCATATGATTCTCAACATCGATGACAACTTTATCATTTTCACACACTTGTATACTGGGACCGGGTATCATACGATTGGCAGTTAAAATACCACGTTCAACACCATCGGCTAAAACGCATTGACAATGAGACCATACTGTGTTGGTGGCATTGGGTGTGCAAACTTGACATGCTCTGTGAGAATAAAATTAAATAAAATAAAAATAAATAATTTAGGTGAGAAAATCTAAATGTTTGTGAATAAAATAAAGATGTAAAGAAATACAAATGAAATAATAAAATTTTATGTTTAATTGTTTTCGAAAAAAAAGTATTATTTTCACAAATGTTTAAAGTGGGTTTACGGCAAACAGCTGCATTTGTTTATAGCAATATTTTCATCTCATAGTGGGTGTATTGTATTATTAATTCATAACTTAAAAAAAAAAAAATTATAATGTTTCCTGTAATTTTGCATTATAAATCTTAAAGGGAAAAGTTAAAAACTTATTTTAACTTATGTCACTTTCTTTTCTTAAAAACTATTTAATCTTTTTGTTGGTTTTATTGTTATAAGATGAGGTATAATGTATATCAAAGGAAAGGCATCAAAAATATATGTATTTCTTAGGCTTAGCGGTTAATGATTACATTTACCAATTGCAATTACATTAAATTGTAATTGAAGTTTTGACAATTACAATAACTTTTATTTGGAATTGAACAATTTCTAATTACAATTACTTGTAATTGTGAATTTCGTTCTTTATGATTACACGTATGTAACTTGTAATTAGTTATACCTAAATTACAATTACAAGTAATTGTAATTGGTAAGCTTCAATTACAATACAATTAAAAGTAATTGTTCAGTTCTAGTTTTGTTCTAGGTCAGTTCTAGTTCAGTTCTAGTTCAGTTTTAGTTCAGTTCTAGTTCAATTCTAGTTCAGTTCTAGTTCAGTTCTAGTTCAGTTCTAGTTCAGTTCTAGTTCAGTTCTAGTTCAGTTCTAGTTCAGTTCTAGTTCAGTTCTAGTTCAGTTCTAGTTCAGTTCTAGTTCAGTTCTAGTTCAGTTCTAGTTCAGTTCTAGTTCAGTTCTAGTTCAGTTCTAGTTCTATTCTAGTTCTGTTCTAGTTCTGTGCTAGTTCTGTTCTAGTTCTGTTCTAGTTCTTTTCTAGTTCTGTTCTAGTTCTGTTCTAGTTCTGTTCTAGTTCTGTTCTAGTTCTATTCTAGTTCTATTCTAGTTCTGTTCTAGTTCTGTTCTAGTTCTGTTCTAGTTCTGTTCTAGTTCAGTTCTAGTTCTGTTCTAGTTCAGTTCTAGTTCAGTTCTAGTTCAGTTCTAGTTCAGTTCTAGTTCAGTTCTAGTTCAGTTCTAGTTCAGTTCTAGTTCAGTTCTAGTTCAGTTCTAGTTCTATTCTAGTTCTGTTCTAGTTCTGTGCTTCTTCTGTTCTAGTTCTGTTCTAGTTTTTTTCTAGTTCTGTTCTAGTTCTGTTCTAGTTCTGTTCTAGTTCTGTTCTAGTTCTGTTCTAGTTCTGTTCTAGTTCTGTTCTAGTTCTGTTCTAGTTCTGTTCTAGTTCTGTTCTAGCTCTGTTCTAGTTCTGTTCTAGTTCTGTTCCAGTTCTGTTCTAGTTCTGTTCTAGTTCTGTTCTAGTTCTGTTCTAGTTCTGTTCTAGTTCTAGTTCTAGTTCTGTTCTGTTCTGTTCTGTTCTGTTCTGTTCTGTTCTGTTCTGTTCTGTTCTAGTTCTGTTCTAGTTCTGTTCTAGTTCTGTTCTAGTTCTGTTCTAGTTCTGTTCTAGTTCTGTTCTAGTTCTGTTCTAGTTCTGTTCTAGTTCTGTTCTAGTTCTGTTCTAGTTCTGTTCTAGTTCTGTTCTAGTTCTGTTCTAGTTCTGTTCTAGTTCTGTTCTAGTTCTGTTCTAGTTCTGTTCTAGTTCTGTTCTAGTTCTGTTCTAGTTCTGTTCTAGTTCTGTTCTAGTTCTGTTCTAGTTCTGTTCTAGTTCTGTTCTAGTTCTGTTCTAGTTCTGTTCTAGTTCTGTTCTAGTTCTGTTCTAGTTCTGTTCTAGTTCTGTTCTAGTTCTGTTCTAGTCTGTTCTAGTTCTGTTCTAGTTCTGTTCTAGTTCTGTTCTAGTTCTGTTCTAGTTCTGTTCTAGTTCTGTTCTAGTTCTGTTCTAGTTCTGTTCTAGTTCTGTTCTAGTTCTGTTCTAGTTCTGTTCTAGTTCTGTTCTAGTTCTGTTCTAGTTCTGTTCTAGTTCTGTTCTAGTTCTGTTCTAGTTCTGTTCTAGTTCTGTTCTAGTTCTGTTCTAGTTCTGTTCTAGTTCTGTTCTAGTTCTGTTCTAGTTCTGTTCTAGTTCTGTTCTAGTTCTGTTCTAGTTCTGTTCTAGTTCTGTTCTAGTTCTGTTCTAGTTCTGTTCTAGTTCTGTTCTAGTTCTGTTCTAGTTCTGTTCTAGTTCTGTTCTAGTTCTGTTCTAGTTCTGTTCTAGTTCTGTTCTAGTTCTGTTCTAGTTCTGTTCTAGTTCTGTTCTAGATCTGTTCTAGTTCTGTTCTAGATCTGTTCTAGTTCTGTTCTAGTTCTGTTCTAGTTCTGTTCTAGTTCTGTTCTAGTTCTGTTCTAGTTCTGTTCTAGTTTTGATCTAGTTCTGTTCTAGTTCTGTTCTAGTTCAGTTCTAGTTCAGTTCTAGTTCAGTTCTAGTTCAGTTCTAGTTCAGTTCTAGTTCAGTTCTAGTTCAGTTCTAGTTCTAGTTCAGTTCAGTTCTAGTTCAGTTCTAGTTCAGTTCTAGTTCAGTTCTAGTTCAGTTCTAGTTCAGTTCTAGTTCAGTTCTAGTTCAGTTCTAGTTCAGTTCTAGTTCAGTTCTAGTTCAGTTCTAGTTCAGTTCTAGTTCAGTTCTAGTTCAGTTCTAGTTCAGTTCTAGTTCAGTTCAGTTCTTAGTTCAGTTCTAGTTCAGTTCTAGTTCAGTTCTAGTTCAGTTCTAGTTCAGTTCTAGTTCAGTTCTAGTTCCAAGTCTAGTTCAGTTCTAGTTCAGTTCTAGTTTCAGTTCTAGTTCAGTTCTAGTTCAGTTCTAGTTCAGTTCTAGTTCAGTTCTAGTTCAGTTCTAGTAAGTTCTAGTTCAGTTCTAGTTCAGTTCTAGTTCAGGTCTAGTTCAGTTCTAGTTTCAGTTCTAGTTCAGTTCTAGTTCAGTTCTAGTTCAGTTCTAGTTCAGTTCTAGTTCAGTTCTAGTTCCGTTCTAGTTCAGTCTAGTTCAGTTCTAGTTCAGTTCTAGTTCAGTTCTAGTCAGTTTCTAGTTCAGTTCTAGTTCAGTTCTAGTTCAGTTCTAGTTCAGTTCTAGTTCAGTCTAGTTCAGTTCTAGTTCAGTTCTAGTTCAGTTCTAGTTCAGTTCTAGTTCAGTTTCTAGTTCAGTTCTAGTTCAGTTCTAGTCAGTTCTAGTTCAGTTCTAGTTCAGTTCTAGTTCAGTTCTAGTGCAGTTCTAGTTCAGTTCTAGTTCAGTTCTAGTATCAGTTCATAGTTCAGTTCTAGTTCAGTTCATTCTAGTTCAGTTCTAGTTCAGTTCTAGTTCAGTTCTAGTTCTCTAGTTCAGTTTCTAGTTCAGTTCTAGTTCAGTTCTAGTTCAGTTCTAGTTTCAGTTCTAGTTCAGTTCTAGTTCAGTTCTAGTTCAGTTTCTAGTTCAGTTCTAGTTCAGTTCTAGTTCATTCTAGTTCAGTTCTGTTCAGTTCTAGTTCAGTTCTAGTTCAGTTCTAGTTCAGTTCTAGTTCTAGTTCAGTTTAGAATTTTGAGAATTTTGACATTTTAACGTAACGTTTCCCTTTTTGAAAGGTAAGTTAGAATTGCTCCCTGTCCTATAAGACCTATTAACACTAATTCCGTGGCACTTTATTTAGGCATATATACCGGTTGTATTTCCAACACTTCAAATGAAGGAACCCCGTTGCTACAATATGATAATGATTTATAGAAGTAATTAATAAGACATTTATATCATATATTATACAAATTATTTAGTTTAAAAGTAAAGCTTATATAATATATATTTCTGTAAATCATGAATCTTTAACTTAAATCTGTGGCACACGCTGGAAATTGATATACATACGTTGGTAACCAACAGATTTACTGGCCTAAATTATATATTTTATAATATAGTTAAAGAAAGCTTTTCATAAAAAGCTTTTAAAGTTATATTTACTTTTATTTAAACAATAATAGAGTAAAACCTATATTTAGTTAAATATATGTTAAACATAGTAAATAATTTAAGGAAAATATAAAATCCAACAAGTTAATTTATTGCTTAACGCTTTTAAAAGAAATATAAGAGAAATATGTAGTATATATTTTTTTCTTCTTCTTAAGACTCGTGTTTTAACCACAAACTATTTTATATGAGTGAATGCTTTTACTTAGTCTGGCTAAAATGTCTGTCTGTCCGTCCGTCTGTTAGTTAGTGGTTTATTTGACTAGCTAGCGCCTATAACTATCTGACTGACTGACTACTATTTGCTTAACTAAACTTTAAATGCGTGAAAGTAAACTATCAATATTGTTAATGATGATGATAATGATTATATGTTTTTTTTTTTTTTTTTTTTAATTTTTCTCTTAGCAGCAAAAAAATTTCATGTTGCTTTTTAAAAACATTAAAATTTTTTTAAAACTTTTCTGCTTTAAACCATTAAAGGTAAAACAAAATATTTGCAATTAACTTATGTTTATTAAACAAATTTAATTTAGTTAAATTTGTTGGAAAAAATAAAGCATTCGTTTGTTTTTACAGTTTGTTAATTTTGTTTGTTAATTTAAGCAACAGGAAATATTGCTGTTTTTTCAATAATATTTAATGTAATGATGAGTATTGTTATAGAAATGAACAAAAATTAACAAAAAGATTAATTTATAGTCAAATTCGTGCCGAAATAAACATTTGAAGCCAAATTCCGTTTGTTTGCAAAAACAAGTTTGTATTCTAAGTCTTTCGTTTTTTAAAGGTTTTTCTTGTTCATTGCTCTCAATTAACTTAACATGTAGCTAAACAAATTTATGTTTAATAAAAAGTTTTTATTTATTAAATATGTATAAAATACATTTTTATGATTCCTTTTCTTTTCGTTTTACTTTCAATAATAACAATAAAATGTATAAAGACAAGCTCCAAACTAACTTTCATTTGCACTTTATTTTATATTCGTACTTTAGTGCATACAC